TTAGTCTCTGAGTTCATTAGGTTCAGTTGAGGATTCATAGTCACACAATTCAAAGTCCATGGCTTTTCCTTCCACCCCACTCCCCACCCCCAACCACTGGTATTGGGAAGCAGGCGAGCTTATGTTAAGTGTTGGGGCAGCGTGTCTGGTCTACAGGTTCACCACTGGCCTCCGCTGTCGTCTTACTGCACTGGCTCTTCAGGCACTGGCTTCTGCAGCACCCTGTAGGCTGAGGACTTATCCAGTCACACCTGGTTTGGAGATTTGAACAGAAATATGATGCTGATGTTGGTGGTCCCTGCCAGAACCTTTAGTGACAAGATCCCCATCCTCTGTGACCTTCTTAGCCTCTACTGGGCCTCTTTAAGTTTTCTGGCCGTTACCTTCCTTCTGAGTGCTTTGATGGGGAAGCATGACCTTCTGGATGACTCTCATATTGTGTGCAGGCCTCTCTGCCTAACACGCCCCTCCACCTTCTACCCGACTCCATCCACCCTGGACAATGCCAGCACACTGGGAAGAAGTCTCCTCCCACAGTTCTAGGTGGGAAGTAGGGCCCTCAGCCTTCTCCCAAACTACATGGAATTTTTTTTTTTTCTCTTTTGGCATTCCCAAACATTCTGTAAACGTGGAATTTTTATAGTCTTATATTCATTCCTCTCTCAGACTGACCCCCAAGGATGGTTGACGTTGCTGGTTGCCTTTCTAATAATTTTTCCTCTTGTTTTCTTTGCTGAAAGGAACCCAATTTTGATCCAGTACCAATGTAATTAGTACCAATATTCACCTTTTTAGACTTCCTTTTGCTAGGGATAGGAAATAAGATATAAATGGAGATTACTGGAAAGACTTCTCAGAAGGACTTTAAAAAGGCTGGCATGTACCTCTTTTGCCTTTGAGCTTTCCTATTCTTGTTGATTGGAATACATACACCATGGCAGGAGGTAAAGCAACCACTTTGCAATCAGCAAGCCACATACTAACAAGGCAACAGGAAGCTTGGAGAAATCTGGATTGATGATGACTTTTCTGAGTACAGAGCTGAACTACTTATCTTCAGACTTGTTAGAGGAGAAAAAATAAACCCCTGTTTACTTAAACCATTGTGATCAGGCCACTTGTACATGCAGCTAAAAGCATTAAAAATGTGATCAATCTGGGCATCATAGTTATCTTAGTTTCTCAGCCTCTAAATATATGGAGCTTCCCAACCCTTACCCCTATCCTCTCCACCCCCAACCCCATCCCCACTATTGTTTTTATTGTCATCCGACTCTTTAGGAAACCACTGTTACATCATTGTGGGGAAATGAAACTTCCCTGAATTCCTCAGTGCTCCTATAAATTGCCCTAGCCTCCTGTGACTCAGAAATGTAACCTAAGTAAAGATAGAGAATATTGGCTTTCACTTCCCCTAGAAACATTTTCACAAACCACAAAGATTAGATCTGTAGCAGTTGTTTCTTTAATGATGGAGCTAAGTGCTCTGATTTAAAAGGATAATAAAACTTCTCTTATCTCCTGCAAAGTCAAACATCAGGAGATAGGCAACTAGGTTAGCTCCTAGGAATTTACATATAAAAAGAGATGGAAGCAGGAACTTGGAGACCTCTGCAGGTGGGAACACACTCCTGGAGACATTTCATTTATAATCTAAATGATTGGGGTGAGAACTCAGGATCCTTTCCATCCCCATCTCAAAGCAGCAAAAGATTGGTGGGATTTTTTTCCTTCCTGTCTTATTTTGGGAGGTAAATGGGAGGCAGTTGCTTCTCTCCTGTATATAAACAGAGAAAATACATTATTCTCTGTCCCTTGGCAGCCTTGTAAAAATACCATGACTCTCATCACATCTCCTGCAGGGCTAGATGTCGGGAACTGGCACTGCAATGTTGTTCTGGCTGTCGATCTGGTTATATCAATAAAGGACTCTTTTCCCTGACCCAGATATTTCGGGTCTTTGCAATATTCACATATAAAAGGTTCATAGCTGTGTGAATGGAGTAACATCTCCCAGCTCTCAACAAAGCAGTCATATCTTTCCTCTTCCTATTCTGAGGTCCATTTTATAACCTCCACTCTTTGAGTCTCCCAAGTTCAGGCTCATTTAATACCTGACTCACATTCTTGTGTGAATTGACTTTGTAAACTTAGTTTAGAAGTCCAAATGAGACTGTCATCTTTTGTCTGCTGTGTTCTTTCCTCACTGTGAAGAGGACCTTTGGAAAGTAACCTTGCAGAAATAAAATGTGCATGGTATGATATTTCAACACCTTAGCCTGCTGTACTTTTGGTATTAGCTAGCATGATGCTATCATGTTACATGATATTGTAAATTTAACCCACCGTCAGGCTTCTTCAGGACCACAGTGGCAGTACCTCTGCTGACCCCCCCTTGTTCATCTTGCATGGGGCCATTTCCCTCTGTCTCTTTGCACAATCTCTTTCCCGCAGGAACATGGTACTTTGCATCTTGGAATGGTCTGAGGTGTGTCCATCAATCTGCTTATCGTCTTTTTTACCTTCACATCTGGTGGGGCTGAAGAAAGATGACCTCAAATTCTTTGATCCTTATCCTCTTGAGAGGTGAGATCTGTTTTACTTTCCTATGAATAATAGAGTGCAGCAGAAATGATGCTGCACTAGTTTCTGGGCCAAAAGACCAGCTGCTTCCACCTCACAGCTCAGGAAATAGTCACTTTCGTAAGCCTGAGCCACCATGTAAGCAGCCCAATTATCCTGAAGAAAAGATCACATGGAGAAGACAAGAAGCCCAGCCAAGCCTCATCTCTAACTCTCCTTGGCAAGACATTAGACATGTGAATGAAGACATCTTGAAATTTCCATACCAGACCACCCTCCAGCTGAATACCCCTGAGTGACTCTAGTAAATACCACATGGATCAGAAGAACTGCCCATTGGAACCCTTCCTGAATTCCTGATCCCCAATATTATGAGATATAATTAAATTGGCTATTGTTTTAAGCCACTAATTTGGGGGGAGTTTGTTACACAGCAATCGATAACTGGATCACCCTGGTTCATTGCTGCCCTTCCTCCCTGTCACCTCTGTTTGTCACTAGCATCCATTCTTTTCCCCTTCTTCTTCCTAGGACAGCATATCTACCATCAATTACCCGGTGCTATTTATTATGATAATGGTGCTTCAAGGAACCATATAGAAATTTAATTGCCAGACAAATTGCTTAATAGCCTAGAATGTGGATTATAATCATTATGTTTGGACAGCTTCAGGATCTAGGTCTGTCCTCTAGTTGGCAAGACAGTGTATTCACTCAGAAATAGATTTTTTTAAAGCCCTAATCAACATTATCATTACTTATGCTGATAGAAGTATTGGTATTAATAAAGCCTCAGCAGCTTCAGGGTTTGAATTTCTTTTCCATTTAGATATGTCAGGACTCAAAAAATATAACTTGATTAATGCAAAGAAATGGATCTAATACCCAATGAAGTAATTAGCGTTCAAAAGCTTAGGGGAAGAAAATAACACTAAAAACACTCAAAAGAGAATCAAATTTCAATTTCTATGCTTCTCTAAGGCCTTTAGAGAGGTGGGAAAAAAGAGATGAAGAGGTTACAATATGTTTGCATTTGGGCCATTTTGATTTTTCCTCCAGAATTTGAAAACTTCTCTTCCACTTAAGTTTTTTCCCCCGCTGGAGTCTTCCTATGTGGAATGGTAGACAAATCGGAGGTACCAGGTCCCTCCAGCAGTTGGTATCAACCCTATCAGACCCAAGCCCCCTTACTAGTCTGACATAAAAATCACAGGTGACATTATCTATCCAAATATTTTGAACAAAATATATAATGCCCTAATTTTAATGTAAAAGAGAAATAAAGGGAATGTTACTTATAGTAAAATATTTTAATATGTAAGAACGTGAGCTCAGTAATACTACAAGAATAATGAAGAATTTGGTACTAGCACACACACATATAATCACTATGATGGTGACAGCTACTAATAATTCAGCTGTGATATATTGGCAACTCAAATACCGCAAGCATTGTTTGCCACAGGTTATATGATTTTCTGGAACAATGAACAGCTGTTGGTAATATACTGAACAAAACAAACTAAAATCATCCCTGAGTTTACATAGGTATTGCATTCTGACTTCTAAGATTGCACTGCTTGTTAAATTCATTGTACATTTGAAACTATCTTGAAATACTGTTTTCATGAATGTCCAATGGGATATTCAGAAGTCATATGGCTATGGGACAATTCTCTGTTGTATAAGAGTGTTCAATACATGTACAACATCTAGCCTGCCCCTCCATCACTGTGATGACAAAAATTCCCTCCACAAATTATAAAAAAGCTCCCCAGAGTAGGGTTGCCAGATTAGATGCAGGATGCCTAGTTAAATTTGAATTTCAGAGAAACAAATAATTGTAGTATAAATATGCCCCATGCAACATTTGGGACACACTTTTACTAAAAAAGTATTTTTTTTTGTTTCTCTGAAATTCGTATTTAAGTAATATTCCTGTATTTTTATTTGCTAAATCTGGCAACCACACCCTAGAGGAAGGTACCAATCTCTTGAGAACCAGTGCTCACCAGGCTACTCTCAAGACCTCAAACCAAACTTCCAGCCTCCGGAGTCATGACCTCAGGGAATACCTAGGCATCCCATGAGAAGAGATTAGGCACTAGAATGGAAGGACGTGCCAGCTTTCCCTATGTGTCATCCACTGCTAGCAACATGCAGAAATTCCTCAACACTGGAAACTCTGTTTTTTGAATCAGTACAAACTTGCCTTTGGCATTGTGTTGTCACTGAATCAGTTCTCTATCCTAATTTTAATTTAATGAAAGTCACAAAGGGACCATAGGCCAAATTTTTCTGAAAGAAACCATTTAAAAAATTTCCTTTGGAAGGAGAAAGGAACAGTAAACCTTTCATTGGCTTTCATGTCTGCATACCTTCTCTCTGGAGATAATGAAGATAAATAGAGAATAGCATAGCTCTTTATTGCATTTTTTATTGCACATATTTCTTCTGAATACCAAAGATAGACATATATGATATGAGAGAGGGAGACAAGGAAAAGGGAGAAAAAAACTGGGAAAAGGTGTGCATATCTGTCTCTCCTTCCTCTCCTGAGGAAACATGATTGTTCCTTTTATGGTTCATCAAAGGGGTCTAGCATATCTTCCAGTGGTAGAAACTCAGTTGCTCTGGAATGTGATCAAGAGAAAGAATCAAATGCATCAGAGTAAAGTAGATTTCATATTAAATAATACATGCCATACGTGACTCAGAAATAAGTAAATTATTTTTACAATCTCTAAAAAATATTTTGGAACAAAATTCCTCAATTTTACAGATGAGGAAAATAACATCCAAAGAGGTCTTAGCTCCACTTAGTAATATGTTAGAGCTGGAAGCCCAGCCTCCTGAAAATGACTCCAGATTTCATTTCCCAAAATGTGTTCTTTACAAAAATGGTCTTGTGAGGTGCCCTAGGGAAGAAAAGTATCATTAGTAAAATAAGATTAGAAGATGTCATATTCCACCCTTCCCTGCCCCAGCTCTTAATATGCATTATCCTATTAAATTTTTTGACAAGTCCTACAGTAAGGATATTTATTTCACCATGATTAACTCAGCATTTTGCAAACATATTTGATCATGGATCTCTGCCAAGGTGGTGCTTTGGAATTTAAAAATATAATATTTCATGTTGCCCCAGAAGGAGGGCTAGAAATATATAAACATGACAATGGACTTGGCAAGCAGTGGCCAAAGACTCAGTGGAAAGTGGACTATGCCCTAGGGGCTCCCAAGTACTGGCCGGTAGATATAGCTGCATCAAAATCGCTAGAGAAGCTTATGAACATGCAGATATTTTAGACCTCATATCCCCCTAAAATGGAGATTGTCTAGATCTGTATGGGGCCCAGGAATCTGTAAATGTAAAATTCTATGGGGCTGTAAACTACTACCTCTCTAGAACTTGGTCTGTAAAAGGGCATGTTATCTAATGTTGGCTGGGCACAGTGGCTCAAGCCTGTAATCCTAGCACTTTGGGAGGCCGAGGTGGGAGGATTTCTTGAGGTTAGGAGTTCAAAACCATCCTGAGCGAGACCCCGTCTCTACAAAAAATAGAAAAATTAGCTAGATGTGGTGGCCTACATCTGTAGTCCCAGCGACTCAGGAGGGTAGGCTGAGGCAGGAGGGTCATATGAACCTGGGAGTTTGAGGTTGCAATGAGCCATGATGACACTTTCTGCACTCCAAGCAGGGTAACAGAGCAATATCCTGTCTAAAAAAAAAATCAGTTACCTAATGTTATGTCAACATGTGTTAAGGGACTCTAGGACACATACTGCTTCAGACTTGTGCTTCTTACAGCCCCAGTCTTTGAGAAATTTGCTGCGGAGATACTTGCACACATGTAACAATTATGGAAAGAGGAAAGACTACCTAAAATCAATTGCAGGCTTTTATGCCATGGAGAAGGCAGGCATCTATATGGTTGCAAAGAAAGAGAGACACTTCATGGAATCTTTAGGATTTAGGTGGCAGGCTGCACTTTGGATCTATGAAGAGCTAATACATTTTGAATTGCATGGTGTTGTGGGTTGAATTGTGTCCCTCCCCCCATTCACATGATGGAGGTAGCACTTTATTATGACAGCCCGGAAACTAATTCACATGGTCAGAAGTTACCTAAAGTCATGAGGTTTTCTTCCTGTTCCTATGTCTCCACTTCCCCCAGAGTCCCCCCCTCTGATGCCTTCGACCCTATTAACCTCCACACCCCTTCCACAGCAACCATCTGCAGATAAGAAGTTAGGAAAGTTGCTGGTAATGACAGCAAACTGTCCTCCTCCTCTTTCCTCTAGAGTCCCCTAGTGACATTCCAAAAGCATGCATGGCCTTTCCAGCTTATTATTATTATCAATTATCACTATTACTAGTAAGAATAATGAAGAAACTGTATTGATATCTACAACTAAGCAGCTTAGGATTTACTTTTTATTACTATTTTTTTCTAGACACACTTTGAAGTTGAGTTCAGGGTATGAGAGAAGTGCAGAATTGCAATGACATAAATATCAAATTACTAAGTACTATAAAAACTTGTTTCTGAAATCTAGTTCCCTGACTTTCAGTCCAACATAAGACACATCTAATGGTTGTAGCAGATGCTGTTGGGCCCAGGACACAAAAACCATCATCACTTACCAGGTCAGTACTTATAGACAGGGTCCTACTGCAAGCAGAGGAAACTCTGCCCGAGTACCCTCTCTTAGCCATCAAACAAAAGGCAGGCCAGAAATGTCCAGGAGTTTAATGCCCTTAAGACTAGCTCTCAGCCAATGACCGATGGGAGTCAAAGGAAAAATATCCTACCTTACTAATCCCACAGATGGGATAACTCTTCAGAGTATTCCCAGAGGGTTTGAGCACAGTTGCCCATTGTAGCAACCACTGTTATGACACATCCCTTTTTAGCTTTCTTCCCTTCCCCCTCCCATCCTCACTCCCTTGTGACCACTTCCTAAATAAACTACTTGTACTCAATTTCCTATCGCAGGGTCTGCTTCCAAGGAACCCAAGCAAAGACAATGGTATTATGATATAATTCACTCAGCTAATTTTTAACCTCTATGCACTGTTTTGTTTGTAACTGGTGAATTCTTCTACAGAGATCAAAGTGATTGTATTTTGTAGACAAATGTGGTTATCATTGCAGCTGTCCACCTCCCCCCACCACCCAAGATAGGTATTGCCATATGGCCATGTGACTTGGGGTGGCCAATGAAATAGAAGTGGAAGGAATATGTCTTTAGGAACCAGGACACAATCCCTCATGTTCACATTTTTTCTGTCTTGGTGGGTGGTGGACAGACTCTCAGATGGCCTCCAATAATCCCTGCCTCCTGGAATTCACATCCTTTTGCAATCCCCTCTCCTTGAGTGTGGGCTGGTCTGGTGGTCTGCAACAAATCCATAGAATATGGCAAAGGTGGTGGGATGCCACTTCCATTATTACATTACACCAGATTGCATATTCTGTCTTGCTAGCACATTCTCTCCCTGCAAGGAACTAAAACCTGTCAGCAATCACATGAGCTTGGAAGCAGATCCTCCCCCAGTAAAACCTTCAGATGAGACTCCTAGCCCCAGCCAACACCTCGATAGCAGCCTTCGGAGAGAGAGACCCTGAAGCCAAGGCCCCAGATAGGCCATGCCTTGATTCCTGACTGTAGAACCTATAGATAATAAGCATGTATTAAGTTGCTAAATTTGTATTAGTTTGATACAGAGCAATATAAAACTAATTAGCAAACTAATTGGTAACAGACAGACAGAGCCTCCCTAGGGCTAGGTTCCAGCTGACCCAATGAGCATGTAGTATGAGTGCAAAATAAAGCTTTGGTGTTTAAAGCCACTATGATTTGGGAGTTGTTACTGAAACATACTTTAGTTTATCCTGACTGAATTATAAGGCAAAGTCTTTTGCTCTCCCTGCCTGGCTACCACATTATTAAACAAAGAAAAAAATCCAACTATGATAATCACTTTGAGTTATGCAGACAACAGAATTTTTCATGGTACCAAAACTTAGTTAAAAAATCTTACCTAGTAAATTAATATTCAGCTATAAGAATCTCTGTGCCCTTCTGAGCTACTGGTTTTAAAATATTACTTCATCAAAGTTAAGACCTTTTCAAATCCCATCTTTGAAATGCAAATTATACTAATATCATGCCAAATTTCAGAGTAGTTGCCTCAAAATCTAAAACAGCTAGTTCTATCCTTGTTGAAAACAACAACAACCGGGCATCCCTCTCTAGTTTGGTGATTTGCCTTTCTGACATTTTGCGTTTAGCAGGAGGTTAATTAGACACAATTGCAACTCTGCTGTGCTGCCCCAGGGCACAACACAAAGGGCCAATTTGGAGACAACTGTATCTTAGAAACCCTGAGAGATACCAGCTTGAAATTTCCAGCAGGTTTAAAACAGAATCTTCTCTACAAATTTAGCAGCTTTATTGGAACTTTAGGTTTGGAACATAAACCCTAATTGGACTACGGTTTCCATTGCAATGAGCTGCTCAAGGACATAATGAAAAGTCAACTTTCGGATGTGTTTATCTACTTCTTGGCTCCTAGGCACAATTGGAAATGCTAATATCCAGATGCCCTTCTATGGAAAGAAACTGAGGGCTTTCTTTTTAATTATATAATAGAATGCAGGTTTTTCTGTCCCCTAAACTAACTTACACAATTAGATCACCAATGAAACAGAGATCAAATATAAACACAGAAAGTGAGTATACTAGACACAACTAACAGCATAACTGTTAGCTGCAATCACAAAAAGAAGAAGGTAATCACACACCTAGATTGAGATCATTTCCTGGGCAGGCAGGCTTCCACCTTCCAGTTCTGCCTTCCCTTCTTAGTCTGTTCAGACTGCTATAACAAAATACCACCGCAAAAAATTTCTGTTCTTATAAAAAACAGAAAATTATTTCTCACAGTTCTGGATGCTGGGAAGTCCACAATCAAGGCATCAGCAGATTTGGTGTCTGGTGAGGGTCCATCTCCTGGTTCATAGATGGCACTTCTAGTTGTATATTCACATGGTGGAAGCTGGCAAGGGATCTTTCTCAGACCTCTTTAATAAGGGCACTAATCCTCTTATAAGGACACCCCCGTCATGACCTAATTCCCTCCCAAAGGCCTCACCTCCTAATACTATCACCTTGGGTATTAAGTTTCACATATGACTTTTGGGGAGACACAAACATTCAGACTGTAGCATCTCATACCTGACTTGGAAGGCCCTTGCTCTTCCCTTAGCCAAATGCTCTGTCCTCTAAGACTCAGCTCATGTTAGATCACTTCTTGCCTAAAAAGTCTAATCAGCCTCCCACAATCAAGTCATTTGAGAAGACAGGTCTGGATTCCAATACAAGATCCCTCACCTACTAGTTGTGTGGATTTAATCAAATTATTTCTGCAAACTTTAGTTTTCTTGAATGGAGATAATACCTCAGAAGTTGTAGGAAGGGTTAAGACAATATGTAGAAAGTTCTTGGCTCAGGATTGGGCACCTAATTAAGAATTCATGCCACTTACTTGATACCTCTTATTCTATTTAGGAGCTAATTATGTTTGGCTTTAAAATCTCTGGAAAAGTGTTAAACTTGTCATATTT